GGTGCAGAAGAACTGAAAATTGACCTAGAGAAAGTACATGTGATTTCTCAAATTGCAGCACCCTTACATTCTCTTATAAAGGCCAATCAAAAGTTTAAATGGTCAAGAAACCATGAAGAATCTTTCCAATTATTGAAACGAAAGATTACATAGGCTCCAGTTGTTGGCTGCGCAAATCTCACAACCTGGTGCTCTGGGCCGAGGGGATGTGCGTTAACACATGACGTCCTTCTTTTGGATGCGGTGCAGTTGTGCTCGGGCGTGCCAGCATGGTCTACCGTGCGTCGAGATGGTGATGAGGTTTAGGTAGAGGATGGTTAAATGATCCGCCTGTTTTGAGTTCGACTCCTAATCAAACGATTGTGGTCGATAGAGGAACTGATTTCGGTCGTTAGGTTCACGGCCTGAGCTACAGGGCCGTTTAGTGGTGATGTTGGTGGCGGGTTTTAGGCGTTGCTCCGGCGCGTTGCTCAGAGGGCGACGGTCGTATGATATATGGGGTGAATGAGATGACAACAGAGATGGTGCTCCGGCGCCTTGAAAATCAAGGGTTGTATGATATATTGATGAATGGATTTTCCTTACAATCTACCATTACTCCTAGGAAAGCAAATAAATGTATTGAAAGTGCATTACAGGAAAATATAATTTGCTCCGTGGGAGACTTTTGGTTTGGTGTTTGAACCCTTTGAATGTAGTCTTGAGCTTAGTATTTATAGGAGGAGTCCTGGAGGGACAATCGAGGCTGAAAAGATCTGCGTAGTGGAGCCTAATCTGGGCAAGTTGGTAGTCAAATCGGCATTTGGGATTATGAAGTATGGTGGTGTGACCCCCATGGATCCGGTAAATCTCGGCCACCACCCGGATCGTGGGTTCTGCCTCCTTGGCCGTGGGAACGCATTTAATGCCCTAGTCTGGTGGTTGGTGATCTGACCTCAAGTTATAAGCATACTTGTGAGAATGTTTGTGCCTAACCACTCTGATTTCCATTACTAAATCCTGACTTCAATCACTTCCCCTCTCCCCTCGTGCATTAAATACTTCTTGCGACTAGTGGGTTTGCTGCGATAGTCAGAGGCATTACTTCATTAAATGGGGCGTGAGACCCTGAGGCCACGTAGCGATTTGACCACAGTATCTTCGGCCGTGCCTTTTACGGCCTTCGGCTTTGGCCCATAATACCGCGGTCGCGAGGTCGAGAGGATTCTGTCTTCGCAGCTTTTCTTTTGTTTTCAGGAAGGCAAAATGCCTAACGAAATGTGGCCGTTTCAGTTCATGAGTAGGTGCTAGGGCCAAGAGGAGGTCCCTTCGGTCAGTTTATGACCGTGATTTATTAGGGACAAACACCAGTACTAGCATTACCGAATCTGTATAAACCATTTGAAGTAGAGAAGATGCATCAAACTATGCCATGGAAGCCATATTATTTCAGGATGAGAACCCAGTTGCATACCATTTTGAGATGTTTAGTTAACCGGTATTGAACTATTCAACTTATGACAAAGAGCTGTATGCAATGCATCAAACAGTGAAGCATTGGAGAGCTTACTTGTTGGGAAAAGAAGTCGTAGTTCACTCAGATCATAAACCTCTTCAGTTTTTAACTACACAGTCTGAGTTACAACAAGCTCGCCATATGAAATGGATGTCTTACCTACAATAATATAATATTGTGATAAAGTATAAGAATTGAGCAACTAATAAGTTGGCAAATATGTTATCTAGACCACCTACACCAGTTGGTTCCGCATTGCTAGTGGCTATACAAATCCAACCCATTGTTCCTTTTGAATATGCCAAAGGTTATGACAAAGATGTTGATTTCAACTTAGCCTATGCCAAGCTACAACAAGGAATGACTAGTGAGTTCTAATTGAATGATGGACTAATGTACAAAGGAACACAATTGTGCATTTCAAAAGATAGCAACAGATTGCAGTGGATTCGTGAGGCTCATACTTCCAAAGTAGCATGAAATTTTGGAGTTGAGAAGACTTTATTGAATCTTCGTAGCTATGTTTATTGGCCAAAAATTCATCTTGATGTTTCACGATACATTCGAGGTTATGTTCTATGCAACACATCGAAGCCTTTTAACAGGAAGTTCGGACTGTATCTTCCATTGCCACTAGCCGACCTTAGGAAAGTATCTCGATGGATTTCTTAGGTAGATTGCCTAAAACCAAGTCTGGAAATGACTACTTGTTTGTGGTGGTAGATCGTTTCAGTAAGATGGTGATTCTCATTCTATGCAAAGACCGTTACTGAAGAGGGAGTTGCTAAGTTATTTTTCCAACATGTTTGGAAGCATTTTGGCTTACCTACATCGATTATTTCTGACAGAGACAGTCGATTCTTAGGCCATTTTTGGAGGTCGTTATGGGGAATGATGGATACTAGATTGAAAAGAAACACTACATTTCATCCACAGATAGATGGGCAAACAAAGGTCATAAACCGGACTATGGTACACTTGTTGAGGGGTTACAATTCCAAGCATTTGAAGACTTAGGATGAAAGTCTCCCTTACTTACAGTTTGCTTTTAACTGAGCAATTCATGGCTCTACACTCAAATGTCCATTTGAGGTTTGTTTGGGTTATTTACACCAGAATCCTTTTGATTTAACATTCACTATGAGTGACCAACCATTAAGTGGGAAAGAAGAATAAGAACATATTCGAGCACAGAAAGATTCATACTGAAGTGGAGACACAACTGAAACATTCTCATCAACGATATAAAGCTCGCTATGATAAGCATTATGTGTCATGTAACTTCAAAGAAGGTGACCTAGTATGGTTACACCTTGGAAAGGAGCGGCTAACCGGTGAAAGCAAGAAACTAAAGCCTATTTGTTATGGACCGTTCAAGATCATCAAACAAATTGGTGATAATGCCTTTCAACTTCAATCACCACCATACATGCATATGTACTCGGTCATCAATGTCGAGAATCTTAAACTTTTTGAGCCATCTCTACTTGATGATGATCCCAACAAAGAAACACGCTTTCCATCAGTTGATAACTTAAAAATTGAATGAGAAGATCCTTTGTAGGAAGATTGTATCTTGGAACATAAGGTTTGTGAGACTCGACATGGAAAGTATGAGTATTGTATCAACTTCCTAGCAAGTCGAAGTGGTATATTCGAGACAAGGCAATAACAGAGTTTCCTCATCTCACAATTTAGCTTGACCAAAAGCTCAAGCATCTTAAATGGGGGAGCCATGATCCAGGAGGATCTACCAACAAAAATAAACGTAATATAATATAATCATAATTTTTTATTATATTATATTATATTATATTATTAAATTATTTAAAATCATAAAACTAATGGTTCATAACGAATTGTTATAAACCATAAAAAGTTAATGGTTTTAAATGGGTGAGATTTTAGGCAATTCATTCTTTATGGCTTAAAATAATTTACTATTTTAGTTTAGTTAATTTTAGCAAGCAAACCTTGTATAAATACGTAAGTTATTCATTGAAATGAATCAAGCAATTTTGCAAGCAGAACTTAAAGTAGTTCCTTAGTTTCTTCTTTTTGTTTCTCTAATTGTCTTAAAATCCCTCTCGTTCCCTTTTTTCTATAAACTAGGAATTCATAGTTCTATCAACTAGAAGTTAGGTCACATGGTTCGTAAGCCGGCAACAACCTCAATTAGCCTAGCAGGGCTCAAGGAACGTCAATTGAGGAGTTATATGAAATTATTTCAAAACCTTATTAATATGATTTCTAAAATTATGTGAATAAATAATAAAACTCAATGGATTGTGTGAAAACATGATAAATATCAAGAGGTGTCTTTGTAATTAACCACGAGTGTAAATTTGTCATTTTGATAATGTTTTATGATGTCAACCATTTTTGGATGAAGTTTTAACAAAAGTGATTTTATGAGACAATTTGAAAATGGGTATCAGTATAAATAAGTCATTTATAAAGGGCTGAAAATGTAAATAGCCATAAATATTTAACTTGGTGGAGAGCTTCATGTATTGTTTCTTTCGATGCGGGACACATGCGAAGGCAAAACACATTATTAGGCGCTAACTTGGATCCTCTTCAATAACATTTTTTTATAAAGGGATTCTACTACATTATTAGAAAGCAAAACATCACTTTTGGTCCCTATATTTTTTGAATTTTTCACTTTGGTCCCTGTAGCTTCAATTATAACAATTTGACCCATATAGTTTGACATCCTTGCAAGTGAAGAACAAGTCCAAATTTCCATCCAATTTTGTGAATGACTAAGAACGTGTCACTGATGTGGACGGGTATTTTTGAAAGAATTTTATACGGTTTTGGACAAAATAAGCAATGTGTTCTAAAATTGTGTGGACATTAAACTACAAGAGTCAAATTGCCAAAATTGAAACTATAAGGACCAAAGTGGAAAACAAGTACAAGGGTCGAATTTCCAAAATTCAATGATGTTTATAATGCACCGTTAAACTATAAAACCTTTAACAGTTGCATGCGTCCTCTAAAGGTAATAGCATCTATGACATCTACCCTGGTGAAGACATTTTTAATGATGTGTTAATTTGAGTGTCGTGGTATGTGTGTCATAAACTATATTCAATGACGCTTATATAAAATGCATCATGGATGATATAATTTAATGACGCGTATTTTAGACTCATCATTAAAATTGTGTCATTAAAAAGGCATGTATTTGTTGTAGTGACGGACCTCAAATGACTTTTTGCAAAATTAAAAACCTAAATTTTTACACATTGTAAATATTAATAAAGGAACCTAGATTTGTTCTTCACTATTTGATTTATCCCGTATTCATGTAGCCTGTTTTGAGATTATTTTTTTTCAATCATTCGAAAAGTATTTAAATAAAATAAATGGTCCATTTTAATCTCTTGAGTCTTAACAGAGAAGAAAGCATTCTAATGTGGTTTTGTGGTATAGCAAAAAATAAAAAGAATCTAATGTGGGCTCATCACGAAACTTACGCCTTGGGGTTCAATACTTTGATCAAAGTCGACTATTTTATTTTCCATATTCATATACATTAATTCTAAAGTAAAGTTGATCAAAAATCAAATTCCCAACAGATCGGGACATCGACCGAAGTTAAAAGATTGAATTTGAAGCAATGATAGAGGGAGGAGGAAAGAAAAATAGAAAAATGAATGGAAATAGGTGGCAGCGTGGAGTGAAGAATTAACTATATATTAAAATATATATATATATACTGTATTTTAATTATTTCTTTGGAGCAAGCTTGGATTTGATCTTGTCAATCTCCTTGGTACCAAGCTGGAAGGCTTTGGTCAAGACCTCGTCAGGAACAGGAGGTGTTGCCGTGAACAATGCTGCAGGGATGGATTGAGTACCAGGCAATTGGCTGTTGAAGGCAGCAATTACAGCAGCGGCCTTGTCCCCGTTGTTCTTCTGGAAGTGAACGAGACCCCTAGGAAACACAAAGATGTCGCCTTTGTTGATGGTCTTGGAAACCAGCTTGTTGGCTGTGGTGATGAATCCCACATCCAATTCGCCGTCCAGCACAAATACTATCTCAGTGGCACGCGGGTGGGTGTGAGGTGGGTTAAGTCCACCAGGTGCGTAGTCGATGCGCGACAGGGACGCGCCCAGTGTGTTGAGGCCTGGAACCTTTTCCACATTGGCTGCAGTTACGATAGAGCCCACTGAGTTGTTGATCAGCCCTGGCTTCGCAAGGCCGTCGAAGAAGAAATCAGCTGCCGTCACATTTGCATCATCCTTGCATGCAAACCCGTTCACTTTTACCCCCCCTACGTACGTACAAGCATGCATGCAGAATATATAATTACATTAATTACATCCATCATCAATCAACACAACATTAATATATATATATATATATATATATATATGTTTCAGTCCTGTCACTTGTAAGTGTGTGTGTGTGTACGTACGCCGGCCGTAGCAAATAATTACGAATATATCCAAAGAATATAATTATAGCTAGTGTATACATAGAATAGAATAGAGTATGTACGATTCATACCTGAAGAAGATGGTAGAGCCACGCAGACATCTTGAAGCAAGTCCGGGTCCGATGCAAGTGCACCGGAGAATGCAGCAGTGAATGTGAAGATGGCTAGATATGTAACAAAGTTGGCAGCCATTGCTTAATTATCCAAGAACACAATGATAAATATCACTTGTGAAACAAATTCATTAAAGTATATATATATAGCCTCATGCTAAACATATTATATAATGGAGTAAGAGAGCTAAGGATTATTCCAAGTTTGGTTGATCTGTTAGAAATTAAGATGAGGGCGATTGCTGTACAATTTAAGCAAAAACGACATATGAAAGGTTTTTAACTTAAATACAAAGAAAGCCATTTGAAATCCAGCAAATGAGGAGCCATGAGCTCAGATGGCCGTGCCCCGTTGGGGTTATGTTGGGTGAGAGATTGTAACGTGATAGGATAGCTAGCAAGGCAGAGTAGGTTTAGTCCGGTATAGAAGAGACTTCAAATCTGAAAGAGAGAATGTTTCACCAAATCTGAAAGAGCTTCCAGTCCAAGTGGGGAGGGAGGTGGACTCGGAATTGAGAGGGATGGCTCTTCAAATCTGAAAGAGCTTCCAGGCCATGATGCCACTCTAGCCCTCACTCGATTTTGTGTTTGTTTATTCTCCAAGTTCCTAAATTTATTTTTATTACTTTCAATATTTAGTCACTTTACAACTTAGAATCTCACTTGATATTTAGAATTTCCAGGATGACATCGCACGCATGGTGTGGAGGTGACTAGACAAATTAACCTCTTCCTAAGAAAACAATAAACATATTTCCTGATGCAACCAAAAGACTTTCGCAGCAGGATAATTCATTCGGACTTCTGCATACCAATATTTAACAGAGATGAAAGAAGAAAAGAAAGAAAAGCTTCTATAACAAATACATCAAGACTCTGATTCTTTCCAAAATGACTTCATACTTTGCCCAAAAATTGTTACAATGTTGAGCAATATACAAATGTTTGAAATGGTAACTAAAAAATTGCCACAGTGAGATACTTATCCAGATGATCTCCAAATTCTTCCCTCCAGTGAAACTACCATAACAGAAACATCATCATGGTATTTCCGTCGATCTCCTTGAGGAATATCAAGCAATTCATAAAAATCCATTCCTGCAACAATCAACGGGAAGCTATAATAAATATAATTATGTACAATACTGACAATTCTTCCAGAATTAGGCAAATCAAAAGCAAATTAACTAAGCTTGGATTGAAAAAGGACCAAGCGAAAAATGTGCACAAAAATTTAAGATAGCTTCAAGCCTAACACGTGGACAACACATTTTGGGTGACGTGGAGCACGTGTGGCAGTTGGGCTTTCACACGTAGGCAACCCGCTCTGATACCATAAAGGAAGTTGAGGTTCCACCCCCAAACCAATTGGCAATGGGGAGAGTAAACCAACACTTTATAAGCCCTTACAAGGTTTCTAACTTTTCAATGTGGGACATTTTCACCTCCACATTCTCACAGCAGCAGCCATAAAGCATTTTGAGTTGCACTACGTTTGACCTTACCCAAAAAACTGTAAAAACTATATCACTGCAGCAGCCAAGTAGCCAACCACCATATGCGGCAAGAAGGTATGGACGGAGTTACAAATGAACGTATTTCCAAGCAATCCATGTGCCACGAGCATTACATATCATCTTACTCTCTAGTTTTTTTTTTTCTTTATGTTTTTCTGTTCATATCTTCTTTGGGATAAGAGTCATCTCATGTAATTTCCCATTGAGACCCTACCAAATCAGTGACAATAAATTTAAAGGACTAACCATTCTTTTTCGCAGCACGGAAGAGAAGCTCTGCAATGAGATATTGTGCAGGATCGCCTTCCGGGACATTTTCCATGAACCATGTGACATGGGCAACCACCTCTTCATTGCTGAAGTATTGGTAGAGTCCATCAGAGGACAGTACCAAAAATCTGTCACTTGACGAAAGTCGATGGTGAAGAACAAAAGGAATGCAGCTAATGTAAGGTGCAATTCCCACATAATCAACTCGGAACATCTCTAGCAGAGCTTCATTACATGTTGGCTGCAACCAACATACGTTATAGACAATGATTTAATCAGTCACACCCAAGCATTTATATCAATATAGAAAATATATAATTTGCATACACTTCTTTCGACAAGTTTAAGGCAGATAGCAATAATTCAAGCAATGCTGAGTGCCCTAGGAAATGCATGGAAGGAATTATCTCTTAAGGTCCAGTGTAAACCTATTATAGGGTAAAAGGCAATCACATAGGCAATGCACAATTGAGCAGAATGCATACATTTCAATTTTCCTTCTGAATTCTGAATTTGTTTTGGAGACTAGCAGATATTTTGCACTTCCACTTCTATAATATATTATATAAACATGTATAAGGAGAGCTCACAAGAATGAATTTTGAGTATGTTGCAATTAATATTGTAAAAGGAAAAACAATGAAATGAGGCATTGCTGGTCCTGCAAGGTGAGGCATAAGCCTCTCAAGCATAAGTTATTTTAATTAAAATGTATAAAATAATCAGTAAGTTTTAGTTCCCATTCCAGCATCACAATTAATGTCCATACATAAAAAATTTAATTAGACATACAATATTCAAGCTCATCTAGACTCAGGGATGCAGGAGGCATAAACTGGAGATAGGAATTTGGCAGGCTGGTTCAGGTCTTTTGGGAGAACATTTAAGCTTCCGCGAGTCTGATTTGGGGCTAAATTCTATTGGGTGGGGATTAAAAGGGTTTAAAGGACACACGACATCCCTTTTGTCCAAGACCCAACCTTCATGAACAAAATGATATCATCTCGATTCAAGTAAATAAGCCTTTAGCGAAACACATTGTTTCATTAAAAACATCCCAGGACATATACTCAGAACGGCAACCTCAGGCCACCTCAGTTGCAGATTGTGTGCACCTCGCACTGCCTAGCCTCCATCATGTATGCCAAACATGAAATCTTCTAAACAAGCTGTGCTTTGAGGCGACTGGATGACGCCTCGCCATGATGTGTGCATTGAGGCACGCCTCAAAAACGCTTTTCACAACACTGGTTACAATAGCATGTCAATAAGGGACAGCTCCCCAAGGACAAGGACCTTCTCTTTCTACTTCTTCTTTTTCAGTTTTTTTTTTTTAAATTCTTGAAAAAAAAAGGGAAATTTCTCCAAAATTGGTGGAGATTTTGCTTGAAATTTGAACAATTAAGGGAATGATGGTCAAAATAGCTCATGTCTGCAATTTCTCCAAAAGTTTTTAAAGTTGCTAGAAATTTTTTATCTTCAGCAAAATAATAGGGGTTCTTCTGTTCACTTTGAAAAGCCAAAAATTTCACTCAGTTCCTTGATTCTTCACTCCTTTTTTACAGAAATTGATTTGAGTACACTATTTTATTTTACTTGCAATTGCAATAAACTAATACCCATTCCAAGTAAGTAAACACGCCATAAATGCATTTCCATTATTGTTAAGGGATGTTCTATCTTAAGTTTATTTACTTCTCCTAGTTCATGCCATAAAATCTGCATGTAAACATTCTTTGGTCCAACAGTTATGCCTCCAATACATGAAATGATTTCAGCAACTACCACTGGAAACAAAAAGAAAATTATGTCTAAGAGTCTTAGCACATTGAAGGATGATAAAACCAAATCATGAAAGGAATAAATAAATAAAATAACGGTCAATCATATAATATAATATATAGGAAAAAAATTGTCTTTATCTATTTTCTTCATAGTCACTTCTACTTATCAATTCTTTGTTATTTCAATGTAACTTCATCTACCAGAAAACAGCAACTATTTAATAGATTTTGGGACCAAACTTTCCATGAGAGAGACAAGGCGTGCTCTGTGCATGTGTGTTCACTTGCATGGATATGTACCACAGAAATAAAGAATTTGATTAGAATAAGATGTACTTTAAAGAACAGTAGAAACAAAATGCTCACAGTAGACATTTATGACATTCCAGCCTGATACATTGTAATTGCTCAAACTGTTAAAAGTACATTCAGGATTTTCCCTCTTTTGTAAAAATTATACTTTGCGTTTCCACATTTCGCATTTCATTTTTTCTTCTTTGGCATCTAATCAAGATTCTGCAATTGTATACTGGAAGTCTGTTTATGAAAGAAAACTTGTATGATACGAAAACACATACATATTTGTAAAAGGTGGATCTGTACCCGTTTTCATGCCTATATAATTTAAAAAACAAATAAATTCATACAAACTTTAGTGATACAAGAAAAAAAAATTATGCAAACTTGAGTATTTGATAAGATGATCTTTTGTAGGTAAAAGTTACCAGCTGAACTGACCTTCTTCAAAAACCCAGCACCAAATGCTCTGGTAACCTTTAATTGCCCCTTTACTCGATCATTTAATATGGCTTGGTTGTCATCAGGATGTTCTGCCTTTATCCTGAAAACTTCCTGAAGAAGTCAAGAATACAAGATTATTCTTCAATTGCATGCTGACAATATCCAATTACCTTCTCTTGTACTATCCTGATTTAAGTGCATAACAATTAATGAAAAGTACTAGTTAGTTTTCTAAAAGTCCATAATCAGTGCAGCTTAAGCATGACATACATACTTAAATCAAAAGAATGATAGGCATACAATCAAGAGACCTGCAGCAAGGCTAGGCTTTCTAGTTGGGTTTTCACTATAAGGTTGGGTTTGATTTTCTTAATTATTGGAGCACACAGAAAATGTACACACCCAACAAAAACAATGCATTGCAGAGTAAACCACTAGGTGGGAGATTCAGATGCAGGTGCACATTCACATGCTCGCATACATGAGCAAATATGCAAAGCATTGTTTATGATTATGTTCAGCTAATGATGAATGACTGAAAGAATGAATAACATCAATATAACAACTAACCAATACGAAGTAAATCTTGATAACAAGATGAAAGAATAACCAGATCAAATAACTCGAAAAATGAAAAACACACCTCCTCAACACTTGTGCTGTGATCAGTGGAAAGCTGAACTGCCCTCATCTTTAATCTGCATATGGATATCTCTCTGTTTTTATTAATCTTGTTAACTTGACCATTCTGATTATGTACCGGAGACTCCTCTGATATCCTGTCCAGCTCCATACGCACTAACGACTCTCTGGATTTATTCCTATGCCACACATCATCCTTTCCAAGATTTGGATTAGGATGGCGATCATTTGGTCTTTCTTGTGCCAAAACTACACGGCTATCACCAAGGTTCATGACATACACATCTTGATCCTTCATTAGCATCACTAAAACACATGATCCCATCAAAGCAAGTTCTGCGTTTTTGTCAAGAGCCTTTTCCACCATTTCCATATAAGCCTCTTCAGTCCATTCAAGTGCTCGAGACATTGCTCTTAAAACTGCTGCATGATCAACAATTCCTGATTTGCATCTCCTAATAGGTCCCAAAGGCTCTCCCATTTTATCATCGACGCAAGCCTCTTCTCTGTGCCAATCATAACTCCAAGGAAATAGTTTCTTACGCAACGACTTCTGCTTTCTGTACATTTTCCTAATCTTTGAGCTCATTGAACTCTTTCTTGCACCCTGCCTCTGTCCTGAAACAGAAAGAACATCTATGCCATCTTGATGACTGGATTCAATACCAGCACCTCCACCTCCTCCTGAAGTAGTGGGGTCTTCACCACGATGGCCAGAGCCATCTCCCTTTGTATTCAAAAAGCTATACTTTGAATTTTCATCTTGCGTATCCAAAGCATCTAGACCTGGCTGGCAATCCCATGTACCATTTCTATGCTTATCAAGCTCTAACGGTGACACATAATCTTTTCCATCCCAAGGTTCCATCTGAAGCAGCTCATAAAGCCGCATGCTTTTTCTGCCTTGACCAGTTAAATTTCCAGCTGGAACTGAAACAGAAGCAGTGCCCGAGATGCTGTCTTGTTCTGAATTAGGAAAATGCTGTTCAATACTCATCCTAACTTCATTGTTTTCCTCAACTATTTCAGACCTAGATGACAGACCCTTGACAATTCCTGGATTGCATGGTTCTATTAAACTACTAGAAATTTCTTGGCTTGAAGAAAGATTTGAAAGGACTTCCTTGCTGGACACTGAACCAGCCTTGGAATTTCCAGTTTTAAGAGGTTCAGGCTTTAATGGATCATTTGGAGATTTATCTTCATAATACCAAAGCAACCCCTCGAGTTCTTTGTCGATAGCTCTATAGAGCTTGCTCATCAGAAAATCTGGTGCATCTGGCCCACTAAATCCATCGTATATCCCAATGAACAACCACCCTTGTTCTTCGGAAAGCACAACATGAACCCTATCTTCACCAGCCTTTCCGTGAGCCCATTGCAAGTTGTGAGTATTTCTAGACTCCCCTTCAGACGGCCCCCCTTCAAGATAGTTTCGTGAAGTCTCTGGCCGGTACTTTGGCTCCTTAGGATTCCAGGCAAGTTGAGTCACTGGGTGTAAGAAGAACCGTTGCATCCAACCAGAACCCACAGAATGTTTTGAGAAGGTCCAAGAGAGGGTGTTTTTCATCGGCCCGCTAACACTCCTCATGAGACGCTGGAAGCCTGGTCTTCCACGACCGCGTGCAAGCGGTGCAGAGAAGGTAGATTTGTCAGTAGAATCAATAGGACCAGACATTGCACCCTTCTCGATTGGCCCAGACATGAAACCACTACCCCTTTCCAAAGGACCGGAAGCGAAACCTCTCTCAAGAGGCCCAGACATAAAGCCATTCAAAGGACCAGAGCCATGAGGAGCAGGCTGCAATGGAATTGCAGAAAATGAGGAGGTGCTCTCAAATGATGCGGCAGGCTCTTGGACATCAGTAGCAAAGAGGGCAGTCTGGTTGCCAGTGCGAGCCGTGGACACATTAGCACTGACAGAAGCCCCTGAGATTGTCTTGAATGTGGTTTCTGGGAATAACTTAGTTGGTTTGTGTAAAGCTGAGGGATCATCTAGGGCGTCATGTCTGAAGGAGCCACTTAAAGTTTCAGAATCAAGAGTGCTGGAATCAAGCGTAAACCTCTCAGAGTTTGTAGGGGTAATGGCAGGAGATTCGAAAATGGATGGTCTAACATAACAGAAGGAATGGCCTAATCCTTCGTCTAGTGGCTCGAGAAACTCTAAATCCACCCCGCTCTTCCCATTAAAGGGGACGAAACATCCCACAACACGAGAGGTGCCGTTACCCATTACTTAGAATTGACACCTCTGTAACTGTAACTTTGCAGCATCAGCATATAATCTTTTCTTAAACTTAACAGTATTCTGGTCACTGTCCATATGCATGATGCATCATCAATCATTAAATATCCAAGCCCAAAGCACCCATGCCCATATAATCTTTTCTCTTCTAAAATTCATTTTAGTCCATTAAATTAAAACTAAAATAAACTCCACCCCTTTTGGTCAGTGCATCACTTTCAATTCACAGTGAGTAAATGAGAACTAGAGTAAGTGAGTGAGTGAGTGAGTTAGAGGAGAAAGTAACAAGTAGAGAGTGTGAAATTCCATGATCTGACCTAGTGCAGAGCTTGTTAAAGCATCAATAAAGCAGTGGATCGAGCACAGAGGCAGACAGATCTAGCAGCGCCGAGGACAGTGAAAGGAATACATCGTATACAAACGCAGACATAAACCCATTTGGAATCATCCATATCCAAATACGAAGCAAAGCTCAGACTGATTGAATCGTGCTCGCATATGCAACTAGCTGTTCAAATTTCAAAAGCTAAGCCTTTTTCTTCTTCTATGAGTAAGTGATTGCTGAGAATCAAGAAAAGAAAATCAGAGTCAGCGATATTCTATCGAGGGATCGAATGTGTTCCGGCAAATGGATGTGGAGAGGGAGAGAGAGGGAAACACACATAGTCTACAGAGCAACAAAATGAGTGAAATTGGGGCAGGAGAAAATGTTTGTTGAAAACTAAATTTAACAACAACAAAAAAAGGTAGATTTTTAAAAATAAATAAATTGGGATTCGGTTTGATGATGAAGAATCAAAGTTTAGTTCATCAAGGAGGGTCTTTTTCTTGGGGTTTTCAAATGGTTTCGGAGGGTAAAAAACAACTCTAAAAATATAAAAGGGAAAAGGGAAAAAAGTTAAAAATAAAAATTAATTAATTTCACGTTGAAAAGGGTGGACTGTTACATGGAAATGGAGGTTTGGCCCCTTTCTTTATTTTAAAACGATTTTGTTATGAATGATTGATTGGTGGTGTTTGCGACTAGGTGTATTGGAATGGTGCTGTTGGGGTCAATAAATAAGCACTGCTAGTGACTTGGCCCATCATCATGCTCATCAATGAATTTGGACTTTTGGATGGGTGGGGACACGGGACACCCTTCAATTCCTTGACCTCATTTTCACCAAGTTTTTCAAATTAATATTACTGAATTACACTAATGCCCACTCAATACTTCTGAACTTCATCTTTTGTTTTAAAATGTTATCTTTTGTCCAGATATGAACTTAGTCAAGTTTGTTAGAATATATATGCTACTTACTCTACACCCCATTTCAAATCCCTCTTTATGTAGTTTAGATTAGATTAAAATAGAATATCGTTTTTGCTTGCATTAAAATAAAATAAAAATGTTATCTTTTGTGAACTAAGTCTACTATCTCATTAAAACATAGTTTTTTTGTTAAAATTTATTTATTTATAGTGAAATTTATCTAAATTAACTACATAACTAAGCTTTCTATAAAAAGGATAGGATTAACTACAAAAAGACCTCCCCAAATCGTAAAGTCATTTACGAGTTCATACCCTGAATTAATGTAACTGGTTTTGCTAGGCCGTTTTGATTTGGGGATTTGTTAGTGAATTAGGGTTGGGTTTTCAATAATTCATCGACATGTGTAATGTACTGGGCGGGAAACTTCTCAAAACACGCCCCTTCAGTGAGATGCCGAAAATAACCTTTAAAAATTGTACACGTGGGCAGTTAACGAGTTTCCTGACGATCTCACTAACATAGTGGGTAAATTGTAGGTTTTTCGCTACTTTGAGTATGTAATTGTAAATGTCCCTCAAAAATTCGTATGAACTCGTAAATAACCCTATAGTTTGGGAGGTCTTTTGTTATTGATTTTTCTTTTTTAAGAAGGTTAGCATTAGATAAATTTTCAGATTTCATTAAAATAAAGCATCATTAATTATAGGGGTTATTAAGCGTCCATTTCTCTCTATTCAAATTTATGAGTTTCTAGGTCTGCATCATTACGAGGCAAAAACACTTAAACCAAGCCTCTCTCCTTCCTCTCTAAGTGCCACTTCTGCCCAAATATGCTTGGATCAATTTTTGGTTGGTTTTTTGTTTGTTTGTTATGGTGTTATAAGTTTTTGGGTGGCTGCAATTTAATTGGTTGTCCCTGTCTCCATGGCGGCAATGACGGTTCTACTGGTATGCGATTTCTTACAACATTAACTAGAATATCATACCATATACAACATAATCATCCTAAAAATATATTAGTTTAAATTTGTGTACATTATAATACATATAGGTACATTATTTTGTGTACATTTAATATACCTTCGTGCATAATCATAATAATGTTTTTTTTTCTACTAGTGTTTTCAGATCTTCACTAACGCCGACAAGGCACATGCGTCTCAAAGTTCTCAACAGGTTGAGCTTGGAAAACTGTTTTGAAGGCATCATAGGCTTTGAAACGCTTAACCCTCATTACCTTGAACCAGTTGATTGCATGACGGAATCATAGAACGGACACGAAAGGGTAAAGCCAAGTCACCAATTCTCTGCAAACCCTCTGTGGAAGCAATTGAAGCTGCTATTCCTATAGCAAATGTTGATCCAGAAAAAACTATAAGATAGGATGCTTTGCGAAAGTTGGAAGATCCCCATTTTTACTTCTTTTCTCAGTCAAGCCTTACTTTACACACGATGAGCTACAAGTTTCATTCCTCTGACGGTTCAGTTATTTCTGTCAGTTTTTTTTAGTTGTAGAGCTCTTACAATGACTGTATGACGTCCTGCTACCTTCCCACTTGCTATGTTCCTAGCATTGTCATCAAAGAAAATCTGCAGGAAAAAAAAAATCACCATCACATAATCCCCCTAATGTTTGAAGCAAAAGAATAGGTAAAGGCTTGAACAACAAAAGAAGTAAAAATGGGGATCTTGCGAAGTATCCAATCTTACAGTTTTTTCTGGATCAAAATTTGCAAAAAAATAACAACTTCAATTGCTTCGAAAGAGGGTTTGTAGAGAATTGGTGACTTGGCTTTAGCCTCTGGTGTACGTTCTATGATGACCATTTAGTTCGTTCAAGGTGATGAGGGTTTGTAGAGAATCTGATGCCATTATGCAATCAATTGGTTCAAGGTGATGAGGGTTAAGAGTTTCAAAGCATATAAGGCCTTCAAACCAGTCTTCCAAGCCCAGCATGTTGAGAACTTGACCTGCATGCACCTTGTCAACGTTAGTGAAGATCTGAAAACAACAATAGAAGCATTTTAGGGCTCGTTTGGGAGTGATTCTGAATAGGCCAAAAAACACTTCTATGGAGATATACACACTCTTAATACAGACCCAAAGAGTTATACACACTCTTAATACAGAATCAACTCCCTAGTGAATCACACTCACACTTGAGTTGATACCTTGATGACTCACTTGATTTCAGAACAACCTCCCTTTATATAGCCAAGGAGAAGGCAATAGATGCATTGTACCATCCACCCACATCACGAACCAATGCACCCCAATAAATGCATTAAACCTTGTGGAAACTAAACTCCTTCATTACCTCCAATGAACCTATGCACATACAAAGAATGCATGCAACTCTCCATTCACATACAATAGATGAATGTACTATGTGGAAAGAACACCACATGCATTAAGTAAGTACATTGAATCCAAGTAAGCATCCACTTAAGTAGGGACATTGAACCCAACACCAACAGCCAAAATAAGTAGGTGGAGTCCCTTTTTTGAGTGTTCGAAGTTTGAACAGAAACAAAGCTTGGTGTTTAATTGGTCGACCAACCTAGAATGGTTTTTTTAAACCATTAATATATCTATAAGGAACGATGGAGGACAAAACATTACGAGGAAAAGTTTAGAAAAAAAAGCAATGGATCAAAACTAGAAAGAAGAGTGTAAAGATGGGAAACACACCATCAATCCTGTTGTTTCTCATTTTAGTTTCCACTTAAGTAAACAACAGCAGGTCTATGTCTTCGAATGAGCCCGTGAAGAGCTCGAATACGATGATAATGGCAACGCCTTGAAACAGAAAACATGCAATTGTTCCAGATATCTTAACCAGTGTGCATAATAATATTAATTCAAACACATAGCCACAGTGGATTGGTTAGTAGCATATAGGAAGTTGGAGTTTCGTTAAACATTGGTTTTGATGCGGTTAGATTGCTGTATATATTTGTATTGGATTGTACACGCTTATTCACAGTTGTGTACAATTCTTGGTTTCCTTTAGATGCGCAAGGCCAAGGGGAGAAAGACTACAACAAATCACTTTCCCACATATATGTAATGATGAATGAATATAACAATAGGGCGCATGTATAGCATACTTAAAGAGTGTGCTGCATAGTGTTACTGTGATTTAGTTTCAGCGCTTCTTCTCGGATGCATGCAAGGTTAATTTTTATCTCCTTGCAAAGTCTACCCTCAACAAGCCGAATGGGCAACCACAGCTTTGGCTTTACATCAACCAAGTAGGAAAGAGTTGTGTGCATTTGCTGCTCTATCAAAGAGTCGTCACATGATATTTCCCTATTCAGCTGCATCAACAATCATTCATTTTGACCCTGTAAGCTTTTAAAAATGAATCCCATTGTTGTATTGTATTGTACCTGTAGGCCTCATATACCTCCGTCTAAGCTATTGTATTGTTTGCACCAGAGTACACTAGAGAGACAGAGTTTAGAAGAGAAATTTACCTGTTGAAGAGACCATTTTCCTTGAAAGATTTCAAAGTCACCTTCAACCATGTTAAATTCGATATCACGCCTGTGACCCAAATTGGGAAGGGTCTCAAGCGGAGTCTCATAACAATCTACGATTCCTTTAGCATTGAATTTCAGCCCAAATGCCAAGTTTTGCTGCCCAATCTGTTAGAAATTTCAAATGCGAAATATGAGAGCCTACCCCATGAAATATTACAAGAAAGAAAGACAGACAGAGACACAGACGCACGCAACGCAAATTAAGGTGCAAACCTGAAAAAGTCGAGCGTAGTTGTCTGTCTTATGGAGCAATCGACAGACGGCAAGTCCCGGAATGAAGTCGGCCAATCTCTCATAATCAGTCAAGAGATTCCAGACAGTGTTGAGTGGGGCCTCTATCCCAATTTCTGATCGGATCCTCCGACAGTTGTTTCCCGTCTTCTCTATCTCTACATCAATATCAATATCAATATCATCCGCCGCAGCATCCATATTTATGCTTACGTCACCATTACCATCCTCCGATACCGCTTGGTCATCATCATCATCCTCGTCATCCTGAGACAAGAAGGCCGAATCGAACTTGTTTGAAGATAAGCACTGCGCATGAGGTCTGCAACTGGAATGGGAGACGGTGGAATGGTTTGGTTTTATAAAAGAAGACGAGTAAACACTCGCCGAAAAGTTTGGGGTTTTTGAAGGCGGGTTTGCTTTTGTTACTGTTAGTAGCAGTAAGAAAGAGGGCTTCGCAGTTGCAGCAGCAGCAGCAGCAGCAGAAGCAGTGGGAGAAGGGATAGGAACAATATTAGCGCTTTGCATTTTCATTCATTCACTCACTGACACACAGCCATTCTTATCTGACTACCAGATGCTTTCTCCTCCTCCTGAATGAGTCATCATCAGTTATCTGACTCACTCGCATATTCTTTCTCTGTTTTTTTTTTTTTTTGGGTTTACTCCTCTCTCTCTCTCTCTCTCTCTCTCTCTCTCTCTCTCCTTGTATTGTATCGTTATCGTATGTGTACGTGTACGGGCTTCATTGACTTGGGTAGTTCATAATTGGGTTGGTAGAGGCCCAGTGTCTACTTTAGGGTTTAGGGTCCAAACCCAGTATCCTCCACTCATAACTCTTCTTGCGAGGTTAATCCAGCCCATTTACCAAATTATTTCCTTCTTTTCTTTGTACTGGGTCTGGGTGAGGTGTAGGCGGAGGATTTGAAGAATTAGCTGACAGATGAGATATCAGAAATCTATATCGACTGCCACTTTACCAGGCTCAGGCTGAGAGTAGAAAGGCTTTCCTAGTTTCCTATCCACAAGGAACAAAACCTAAAGACAATTACTATGGCCTCTGCATCTGCTATCTCAGTACAAATCTTTCACACCCAGAGAAGCACTCTTTCTCCTCCTTTCCGTCATTTCCAGGTGAATTCCACAGCCCATATATTTGATTTGAGCTTGAGACTTTGAGAGTAGGCCTGCCTTACCTATCTTTGCTCATTTAAATTTGTCCTAAATGTAATTATTTTTTATGTGTGCGCGCTTCCAAGTTCCAGGGTGGTTATAGCCAATGTTCCATGCCATATGTGACATCCACTGCTACTGCTACAAGGTTGCAGGTCACTCTACGCAGGCCTCCCTATGCATCCAGATTCTCTGCCAAACATCAAACAATGGTGTGCACCAACTCTATGTCAAATGTGAGTGCTTCTCCTTCTCCACTCCTTCAACAATGCAAGGAACGTTGAAATGGCTTAGAGGGTTTCAGTAAATAGGAAATAAGCAACTTAGAGAAACGGGCGTTACTTGCAAAATCCGAATGGAAATAATAGTTTCTGAGAGTTAATTTTCTCCCGTGGTTGTGTGATTTTAGGATGTAGAGCAGCTGCAAGCCAAAGTAACAACCAAGTGCTTCTTTGACACAGAAATTGGCGGTGAAGCTGTTGGTCGGCTTGTACTGGGCCTCTTTGGTGACGTTGTTCCTAAAACCGTTGAAAACTTTCGCGCCTTGTGCACAGGCAAACCTTTCTTTATTTTCTCTTCCCTTCCCAATTGCTGCTCTTATTCTATTTCTTTGCTTTGTATTAATATTGATTATTGTTCTTGTAGGAGAGAAAGGATATGGTTATAAAGGATGCTCTTTCCACCGCATCATTAAAGATTTTATGATCCAAGGAGGGGACTTCACTGAAGGAGATGTGATCTCTCCCTCTCTCTCTCTCTCTCACTCACTCTCTCTCTCTCTCTCTCTATAAAATAGGATAGGATGCTCATGGGTTACTAAATTAATCCAAATTTAATTGTTTTTACTGGCTGCAGGGAACAGGGGGAATTAGTATCTATGGTTCCACATTTGCAGATGAGAGCTTTGCATGTATGTTCTTGTTACAGAGCATAGAAAATAGAATAGAGCTTATATTACTATTTTCAACTTAATGAGAACTTTTACTTGGAGTTGAGATCCTTTCATTTGAAAGGCATTTGATTGTTAGCTGAAAGCCCTTACAGTACTAACATTAAAAAACACTTATTTGCAGTGAAGCATGTTGGCCCTGGTGTACTGAGCATGGCTAATGCAGGCCCTGGTACTAATGGGAGCCAGTTTTTTATCTGCACAGTGAAGGTAAGATGGCTGCTGCAACTTCGCAATTCTTTCTTTTTGCATATCACATTTTTAACTAAATACTTTTCTCTGACTTGTTTGAATTCTCAATATGCTTTCCTTCAAATCCCATGTCTATTCTATATTTCCTATACTTTATGGGCAGGAGTGACCTTTTTTGAATAGGTGCAACTGCTTTGTTTGGTTGCAATCCTCTTGAGAAGATTTGATTTTGTTTTCGTCTAAACAACCATACAGAACATTTCAAATAAATCTTTAAACAAGCCCATACAACATCTATGAGATCCATCAACAGTTGAAAGAAGAACTGAGATATGCACACACACACAGAGACAAATGGTTTTCAAGGTTTACTTCTATTTATGGATCAATTTTTGGTTTTTACATCATCGCACATCCAGTCAAAGTAGGACATTAGAATGATTGGAAATAAAACATTAGTTTTTTAGTATTATATCACTGTGTTCATTCCAAGCAAAGAAAATAAGTGTAACTGAAATGTACCCTGTTTAGCTGAGTTAGTTATGTTCTGTTTCAGAACTTTGTCAATTAATGTTTTGGATGTGCATCATGTAGACTCCATGGTTGGACAATCGCCATGTGGTGTTCGGACATGTGATTGAGGGAATGGATGTTCTGCGGAAACTTGAATCCCAAGAGACAAGCAGGTCAGATGTCCCTCGTTTGCCATGCAGAATTGTTAACTGTGGAGAGTTGCTTTTGGACTGAATGCCTTCTTACTCGTCGAAAAGTATAACTGTGGAATGCAGTTTTCCGGTTTGTCTATTCCAGAGTTGTTCTTAACTATGTATCTTATTTTGACTGTGAAATGAAATATACCAGTCATGCATCTGAAAGATTGTTCATTTCCGCTGAGAAAAGTTCAAATGGGAATATATAAGCTAGAGATGAAGGTACATCAAACATGACGTTTTCTTTTGGACTAAAAACAAAGACACACTTATCACTACGTTTTTAGAAAAGAACTACATGGAGTCAATTACACGAATTATATGGTATCAGTTGAACTCTATTGTTTTATAAGATGTATAATAAGTTGGTCGTAAGGATCCTTAAATTCACTTTTTTTCACCAAATTACCGATAAACTTCATTGACTGACAATTGCCTTCCAAGGTGACTGAAACTGTGACACGGTCAGTAGAAGACCTATGCAAGGACCACTGTGTCAACAGCAGTTGACTGTATAAATTGCTCTAGTTGTTGCCCCCCTTCCCCTTCCCATATCTCAGGTATTGCTTCTTTGATGTTGTGGATGCTACTCAATGCATGATCTGCACCAGGCACTAGTACTGAACTTCCCACCTGCCATAAGTTTCCCACTTGTATCAAAACTTCACAAAATTAAAGTTCAAATAACTTGTTTGTTTGTTGATGGTAGTGAAGAGAATCAGCAAGTCATGCTTAAAACTTATAGTTATTATGATGAGCTACAAGTTTCCTTCCTCTGATGGTTCAGTTATTTCTATTAGTTGTTTTTTTGTAGTTGTAGAGCTCTTACAATGACTGTATGAAGTCCTGCTGCCTTCCCACTTGCTATGTTTCGAGCACTGTCATCGAAGAAAATCTGCGGAAAATAATAATAATAATCTCCATTACATAATCTCCCTAATGTCTGAAGCAAAAGAATATGTAAAGTAAGGCTTGACCAAGAAAATAAGTAAAGATGGGGATCTTCCAAGTTGAGCTAAGCATCCAATCGTACAGTTTTTTCGGGGTCAACATTTGCAATACGAATGGCAGCTTCAATTGCTTCTACAGAGGGTTTGCAGAGAATTGGTGAATTGGCTTTGCCCTCTGGTGTCCGTTCGATGAGGACCATTTGGTCGTCTGATGTCCTGCAATCAACTGGTTCAAGGTGATGAGGGTTAAGAGTTTCAAAGCATATGATGCCTTCAAAACAGTCTTCCAAGCCCAGCCTGTTGAGAACTTGAGCCGCATGAGCCTTATCAGCATTAGTGAAGATCTGAAAACACCAGTAGATGCATCTTAGTTTACCATAACCTATAACTCAGTGAACAGGAGGCAGGTAATGTGAACAAATTTTAACCAGTACTGACGTACTATTTTTCTCTGGGGCATCGATAACAGAAGGTTCCTTAACACCAGATCGTGCTTCAATGAATCGTAAGGTAGCCTGCCGTGGACATGTGAATGAAACTCATCGTTGTCAAATTCGTAACCAAGAGCCTGGATGAAGAGATGGAAACTATCAAAGTTCTAGATATATGTATATAAATATTGAAGTAGGATACTGACATTGATAGAAAACAAACTCCAAGGTCAATTGGACAGCGCTCTGTTTTACCTTTAGACCGGCCATGGTTGTCCCATACTCCCTGTACAATTCCAGGCACATCCTTGGTACCTCACTTTCTTCTATTTGCAAGTGGTGCAGCATGAACTCTACAATCGAAATTGCTCAACCTCATTATGAGTAATCTATTAATGGTTATGAGTAGTGAAATACAAAATTATCACCTGACTAATATATAGCATCTTCTTCTGATTATTAATAGTAGTTTACGGCCATACCTTCAATGTTCTTGCGGCATGCCAAGTTGAGACCTGAGCTCAGGGGATATAGAGTATCATCCAAATCTGTAAGACATGTTGGGAAGCCACCAAACAGAAGAGTGAGTAGTTGGTCAAGTGAAAGTCTGAAAGAAGAGATGCTTTTAATAGTTAAATCCAGAAATCTACACAATTAATTCCAAGTCAATAAAATTTACATATAAAAGAAGAAGAAGAAGAAAAGCTTATAATTTTCATCTGGTTAATCAAAACATTACACACTTGGCTACAAAAATAGAGAGTGAGTGCCTTTTAAAAGTTGCATCATTGTATTGTATCTTACCAAAAAGCAAGTAGTCATATTTGGCTCCACCGGACCTCCCAACATCATCCATCTTCAAGAATATACCTGAAACAAGGTTCCACAAAGCTGGTTAAAGAAACAAAGTTTAGAAGAGTGAATTTTGAAAATCCTAGCCCTCTTACTTAATAATACAAAGAAAATCTTAATGAACATGTGTATATGAATTCAATGATTCTGGGAATTAAAAACACTTCCAACAAACTCATAACTCAGTAAAACTCTGGTAGATTATATTCATATTCAACACCATGTTCTTCAAACTACATCGATATATAGCGTATAAGGCCAGAAGAAGAGTAGAGAATAATGATGAATAACGATCATTGAGAAATCAAAGTTTGGTGGATGAAAGGAAAGGAAGTGAGATATCTTGAAATGCAAGTCCCTTGTTTACGGATTTGTTATCACCTTGTTTCTCTGCCCGATTAGAGTCATCGTTTTCAGTATGCATGATGAAAGCAATGCAAGTCCGTCGCAAAAACTAGATAAAGATTACCTTGAAATTAATGTACAGTAGAATGACTATATATAACAGCTCTGGTCTGGTCTGGTCTTGTGCACGAGATAATTGGTTAGGGCCGGAGATTGTGTATATATAATATACCCACCAATTTGAAGAATGTGCGAGATGATGCTCGCCATATCCGAGGTGAGGTGGTGAGAGCATATTAAATAAATAAATAAACTATATTCTCTGTGATCGTATTCCGAATCACTAAAGTCTATGGAATTAAGGTAGAGTTGTCATTTTCGATCTGTATGCATGGGTTTTTCAATCTTAATTATCTTAGGGTATAGATCAACAACATGATATATATAGCTACAAGCTATTAGCTAAACGACGCAAACGCAATGCATGCATGACCGTACGTCTCATCAATTAATCTCTTATCTTTGTCGGCAGCAGCTGGGGGATGCTGGAGGAGGTTAGGTTTGAGGATGATACTGCGGTACAAATTAATTGAAACAAAAGAGATCATATAGTTTTTTTTGAGCTGAAGAATCAAGGATATTTTGGTCAGGAATTTAAGAATCAAGAAGATTACCCTGTAAGTGGGATATTGTCAAGGTGAGGACTATTCCTTCTTTCTAAGATCGATCGATGGTTATATGGAATAAAAGCATAATGCCCATAATCTAACATTTGTTCAAACGATATCGCTTTGTATTATTCTATCACTGTGTTTTCCCGTCTTTCTATCATCTATCCATAGAATCTATGGATGAAGGATGCTTTCTGTCCCAGCAATTTGCAACCAACTAGGCTATAGGTGGTGGCTTTTGACGTGGCCCATTAGGAATCTATCTACTCGTACATGGCACCAATTTCAAGCCGAAAAGTTTATTATTCAGTTGGGGCAGTTCTAGTGTGAGCTTAAGAAACGGCCTTTGATGCTTAAGTTAGACAGAGAAACAATAATTAGGAGTCTTGGACTCATATCACATTCTTTGGTGGCTTGGCTGGAGGTCTTAAATATTTAGGGTTTAGGGTTTAGGGTTTTATCTATAGCCTTTAGATGAAGTCTTATCTCTTAACTGTTAGATCAAACTAATGACTAACCAATTTAATTCAACGATTAAGAGATAGAGTCTCCTCTAAGGACCTTATCTAAGGCGTGCTTATCGACATACTTGTGTAAACAATGTGGTATGCTCCTAAATTATAGATAGATATAGGCAAAATTTCACAGTGAGAGTGATATATATGGACTCCTTATGTGGACCTTTATATTAGCCACATGATTATTTCATTAAATTTAAGTGAAGTTACTATTCAGATAAATCGTATGGCTAATATGAAGGTTCACTTCTATGGCCCATATATAGCACTCTCACCGTAAAAACGACTCATAGATATAAACTCATGTATTAAATTAATACCAAAAAAGGATTTTAACATTTTGGGCTGGCTAATCTGTATAGAATAGTTAATCATCGGAAATGCTATAATGAGGGCTTAAAGTGAGGAGGTTATTTGAGGAGGTCAAATCTCACCATCAACAAATGTAAAGAAATCATGATACTTAAATATTTTAAATGTTTTGATGGTCGGATCGGTCTCCTCAAATAACCTCCTCACTTTAACTCCTTATCGTAGAAGCTCTTGTGAAACATAAGTTGGGCCTAAGGAAAAGGACTTTGGGTGTAGTTGGTTCAAAATTGAAATTAGTTTGGGCCGAATTCTGTGTGATAAAAATGAAGATGTGGTGTCTGTCGGAACACGCAGTCCGTCTCACGGCGACTTTAATGTTTTTTAAATTGTGTTTCAGACACGGCGACTGGATGTTTGGTGGTTAATACTTTGAGGTTATGTTTATGTTCGGTATGGGAGGAGGAGAGCAGCAAACCAGGATTATACAATACTATATTCGTGTATCGAAATAATAAGAAGAAAAAGAAAAAGAAAAGAGAAGAATGGTGTGGGCAAAGGGGAAGGACGTAGGAAGGGTGGTGAAAGGGGTGTCTCTAATCGCCAAGGAGTTTGTGAAACGATCCCCGGCTTTCCAAAGCGCCAAGAATGGGGATTTGGAAGCCCTAATCAAGAATGCCATCGTGTCGGCCACCGACCTTTCCGGCCTCACCAAAGGCACCCTCTCCCAATTCACCAACGCCATTAATACTACTGCGACTACCAATGGAAACGACAACAACAAAGCCCAAGATTCTGTCGTATACTTCGTACATGAAGAAGCACCCTCTTCTCCTCCTTCTGCTCCTGCTCCTCCTCCTCCTCCGCAGCAGCGTCGGCAGCAGCATGAACAAGAAGAACATCATCAACATCAACAAGTGCAGCACGTTGATCAACAACAAGTGGAGGTCCTTGATTCGGCCAAGAATGAGAATTTGGCCCAACAACAGCCACAACCACAACCTCAGCAGCCATTGCAGAGGCGGAAGCCCAGAGAGAGACGAGTTCCTTCCACCCCCTTCTCTAGAGCACTCGGGTATCTCCATTCTCCATATGATCATGA